TGGATTATTGTGATGTTTTTATCAGCTGTTTGGACTCTCATTCTGACGGCACCCATTCACTGCAGAGCATCCACTGGTGAGCAAGTGAGTGCTCAATTTCTCAACATTTCTTCTGAAAAAGAAACAAAAAACAAACTCGTACTTCTTGGATGGCTTGAGGGTGAGTATATTTTCAGCTAATTTAAATTTTTGGGTGAACTGTTACTTTAAGCTGGGATATATTAAAGTTATTAACATGACACATCTTCTTTATCTGTCACTGTATCTGTTAACTGTTTCACTGAAGGATTTCAGATCATGACATCAAATGACACGACAATCAAATGAAGGTGTCTGTGTCAGGTTTCGTTTATGTGAGTTTTTCCACTTTGTGGCATTCCAAAGTTTTGACGTCTTTGCTAAAATGAAAAAAAGGTCTTTAAATTCAAAACCTCAAACTTTAGACTGCAGACTGATGCATGTTGTAACTTAACCTCCCAGGACAACTGTTTCAACACACCGAAGCAGCTGCTATTTTTGTATTCATCAAATCAATCAAGCAGATGCTTTCAGTCTACAGGCACAGCTGGATTACCACCAGACCACCAGAATCTGACTCTGGCATGTTTTGAATGGCACTTCTTACATCAGCGTGCAAAATTTATTTTCATAGTAGGTTTTCAGGTTGTACTTCAGAGAAAAACGGTGACATCAATCATCACAGCTTGTAAACAAAGCATACCTTGCACAGTGAGTCGCTTTTCAGTGTCTGCCAAATAAATCTACGTATGTACAGTAAGCGTAACTGAATAAATATAGTCAAAGTGCACAGATTACCACACAATAAATGTGCATGCACTTCACTGAAATTGTAACAAAAGATGTTACTCCACATTGAATTGATGGCAAACCCACCCCTTTTTTTATCCCGAGTCAATTAGTCACATGACTTCCTTAATATACAACTATGAATTTATCATAGATTATGTGCGGTGGATACCGTTTTCTTCTTCTTAAACAACAACTGTGACTGAACTGTTTTTATGTCAGTTTTATGAATTTTATTTATACAGTATCTAGGTGTTTCTATCCAGCATTTTTATGCAATATCACAAAACCAATCAATTTCCATTGCATAAAATTGTTGCATATTCACACATGCCATAGAGCTCTGACTTGATCTGTATTGCTACCATCCAAAATGCTGTTAAAACACGTTGCCAGATATGGCCTTTCAAGCTGTGCCAGAAACTTCGTAAGATATAAGAGACCATTCTTTTTAGTAATTTCAGTTTCATCTGCTTGAATGGAGACAAGGGTTTTGTGTGCTGTGTTCCCATTATCTCATAGATTTCCTTATTCTTTATTTCTTTAGTATTCAGAAAAGTTTCATAGGAAAATTTGATACAACAGTTTTTTAGTTTTTTGACTCACTCAAGTAGGACTTTGAAACATTGTTAAAGCGTACTGAAGAATGTACTGACAAACATTCATGGTAAACTAAAACATACACTTTGTAATGATAAAGTTCCTATTTAGTACATTTAAAATATATTAACTTAAAATGTAAAATTGCAAAACACTGTTTAAAAAAGAAATGTCATGAAAGTTTACTCATTACTTTCGTTAATGTTACAATATCTGCAAATACAAGTGTGTTTTATATATTTGAACTAAAGCAGTCTGGCTGGAGAAAAAGCTAAAAAAATCACCGCTGATCTAATAAACTGTATGGTCATGAGATCAGCATTATATCCTCTGAACAGAAAGTATTGCCTCCTGCTTCAGCATCCGCTCTCTGGTATACTGTGAACTAGGCAAGTAGTTAGAAGAGCTAAGATAAGAAAGACAAGGAAATCCCAAGCACCAAGATAATATCAGAGTAATAGCTCCATTATAGTTAGCTGAGAAAACATTGCTGATGTCCATATGAGGAGATCAACTTCCATAGGACATGACAAAACTTGCAGTAATACGTGTCTCATTTGCTTGTAATATTTGTTGAGACTGCCCACTGTTTCAGCCTCTTCATACATTACAGCAGAGTTCCTTCATCAGCAGCGCTCAACTCCACAAAAAATACTCCTTTTGTTGCATTTCAACAATGAAGTCATTGAAGACTGCTGTGGAATTAAAGGCTCCTGACATACATGGCCTCTGTTTGGGCCAGTTGGATAAGATTAGTTGGTAGACTAATTGGCCGAGGCAAAAGAACACACTGTCTGCGGGGTATGTGTTTGAATCTCCCCACTGCTGTGATTAAAGCTGATGAATTGTATTTCCCACCCAAACCCAACCAGCCCTTGAGCTCTTCACTGATCCCCTTTCCATTGACTCAACATTTAGTGACGCAATAAGACTGCTTCAGGTTTCCCAGAAACAGAGGAATTATGACTTTTCTTTTACTTAGTGTTGAGGTGACAATCAGTTTGGTTTTAGAATCAGATCATTTATTTCTTTAATTACCTTTGTGACATTTCTTCCAAAAATATCATTATGCGAAAAATATCTCATTATTGTGAAATGCAAATCATCCTATTCACACACAATGATTTTTCAAACTTAAAACTGTACTGTTTTTGTACTATTGTGTGTGTGTGTGTGTGTGTGTGTGTGTGTGTGTGTTTAATGTTTTTAAAGAGGTTATACTCTCTATCTGTCTGTCTGTCTGTGTATGTGTGTGTGTGTGTGTGTGTGTGTGTGTGTGTGTGTTTAATGTTTTTAAAGAGGTTTTTTATGCTCATGAAGGCTGTATCTATTTGCTCAAAAATACAGAAAAAATGTTGATTTTGTGAAATATTATTGTAATTTAAAATAGCAGTTTTCTATTTTAATATACTTTAAAATGTAATTTATTTCTGTGATCAAAGCTGAATTTTCAGCATCATTACTCCAGTCTTCAGTGTCACATGATCTTCAGAAATCATTCTAATATGCTGATTTATGTATTATCAGTGTTGAAACTGTTGTGCTGCTTAATATTTTTTGGGACCTGTGATACTTCTTTCAGGATTCTTTGTTAAATAAAATGTTTAAAAGAACAGTGTTTATTCAAAGTAGAAATTTTGTGTTACAATATACAGTACTATTCAAAAATTTGGGGTCAGTACATTTTTTCTTTCTTTCTTTTTTAATACTTTAATGCTTTTAATACTTTTATCAGCAAGGATGTGTTAAATGGATAAAAAGTGATAAAGACTTATATTATTAATATTGTTAGAAAAGATATCTATTTTGAATACATGCTGTTCTTTTTTAGTTTTTATTAATCAAAGAATCAAAGAAAAAAGTATTGCAGGTTCCAAAAAGAATATTCAACAGCACAACTGTTTCCAACACTGATAATAAATCAGCATATTAGAATGATTTCTGAAGATCATGTGACACTGAAGACTGGAGTAATGATGCTGAAAATACAGCTTTGATCACAGAAATACATTATATTTTAAAGTATATTAAAATAGGAAACTTATTTTAGATTGCAATAATATTTCACAAAAATTTTTATTCTGTATTTTTTATCAAATAAATACAGCCTTGTTAAGCATAAGAGATTTAAAATAAAAATCTCACTGATCCCAAACTTTTGCACGGCACTGTACATTGTGAGGTCCAAATGTCCAAATGAGGATAGTAAGCCTGAAATGACAGAAATTACTCTTTTTCAAAACTCTAAACACTTATAATGTATAAAAACACTTACAGCTAATTTGTCTCATAAATCAAACTCATAATTATAAACTCAATAAAGAAATTATTAATAATCAGCATAATACAATGTCACTATTTTTCAGAGACACAAAATTAGATTAATAAGTTAATCAATTAACCTCTGACTAATTAAATCTCACAAATGTTAAAATTCAGATAAAAATGGCAAAATAAAGAAGAGCGTAGCCATTCATTAAATGTTCTGAGATGTGATTATGCCATCTGTGATGGGGGAGGGGGCGGTTAAAATAGTATTAAAATAGTTTTGAAGGAATTGTGACATTTTGCATGTTGTGTGTGTGCGTGGGACAATCAGTAAATGTAATGCATGATAGCAGCCTCTCCATCGCCATGTGTGTGTTTTGGGGTTTTATGTGTAGAGTTTAAAGAGAAAGAGTCACAGTTCCAGAAATCGCATCTTAGCAATTGTCAAAAGCTGTAAAACAAGAGCTATAGAGCGGTGATGTGTGGCCACTGTATAAGCTATAAAGCCTCACATGCTCTCGCTGGTTGTTTTGGTAACAGGACTCTCGTGGAGGAGGAGGAGGAAGATGAGGCTCTGTACCAGGCACTGTGCTTCAGAAAGAAACCAGGTGGGAGTAGATGAAAACCAGCGCTTCCCTGCGTTCCCATACGACAAAGAAGAGATTTTCAGTTACAGGATTTCAAAATATATAAAAATTGCCAAAAACATTATGCTAATATATTTGCCATATGGGTTCATTCACAATATGCTTTCAGCATTCTTAGTTGTTTCAATGAATTCACTGTGATGCATTAAATAATCAAGCACTGGAGTTATACACAAATCCAACAAGAATCAAGAACTGTTGAACTCACTAATCAGAATGAAAGCAAGAGATAAACTCACACACACACACACACACACACAGACATGGGAGAGGGTTGATCCTGAGGGAGGTCAGTTCCCTCCATATACTCTTCGCTCATCTGTCATCATGGCCTTATTTCCATGAGTAGTGAAACAGCAACTGCTGTTATTATTATATAAAATACCAGAGTCTGTCCTCAGAAAGCTTTCTGACAAAAAACGAACATGAAATCGCCTCCAATACAATGCAATAGTTTTCATGAAAGCCCAAATGGGGTTTCTTAACATTAAATTAAAATTTAACGCAACTTACATCTGAAAACCAAATAAGTAAAACAATAAATATGAATAACAGTGCATGCATGATAAATGTCACATTTTTAACAATATGTACTGCATGGTTTTGACAGAAAGCATAACGAGAGAAGACACAGGCCACCGCTCTGCATTGGACCAAATAATTGCTTTAATCTAAATACAATCTCTTTACTACAATGGTAATCTTCAAAACATAACAGAAACCTATGCAGTTGAAAATATGCAGTTGCATTAGCTAAATATAGTACATTAGACCTATATTTAGCAAGCAGGACATATTTTTTTGAGTGCAGAGAAATAAGACTGTGAAACACTCACACTCACAGCTGTTGCATATACAGGCTTTGATTTGCAAGAAACTTACAGTAAAAAGTCAAATGTTACTAAATGTTTTCTTAACTAAGAGATTTCTCACAAAAGCATTAAAGCCAGTTGAATCTTTCAGATGTGCTGCTGTGAGGTCTGGATAATTATTTTGTGTCTGGACCTTCAAACAGCATAAATAAAGACAAGCCTGCTTTTCCTGACAATGTTCAGCTGATTAAAACCAGTAAAACTATTTCTTATAAAACGATGAATCATATTAGAATCAAGATAATATAGGTGATATTAATTAAAGTCAAAGTCATATTAGGTCATTTCACCCAATTATTTGACAGCACATTTAACCATGTAATTATATTAAAGGGGTCATATGATGCGATTTCAATTGTTCCTTTCTCTTTGGAGTGTTACAAGCTCTTGGTTCATAAAGAAGATCTGTAAAGTTGCAAAGACTAAAGTCTCAAATCCAAAGAGATATTCTTTATAAAAGTTAAGAGTTAACCACGCCTACCTAAAACGGCTCGTTCTAACACGCCCCCACATGTCTACCTCACAATGTGGGAAGATTTGCATAACACCGCCCAAATGTTCACGCAAAGAAAGAAGGCGTAACTTTTATTCTCGCTGTAGCATTGTTGTTGCCGCCGCCGTCATGTCGTGAAGGCACTGTGTGCTTCGTTGTGAAAGCGAAACTACTTTGTTTGGCTTTCCAAAAGGGGACACAACTGTTCATTACACCGAATACACAAAATAATGTTCTTTTTAGCAGCATCATATGACCCCTTTAATATCTTACAAATGAAATTGTTTACATGAGCGCTTTTTATATTTGACTTTTTGAATCCCTTAGTTATGCCACCAGTCTGCAGGAGTTATTACAGACAGACACAATGATATTACAGATACAATCCACCCATCAAGGGTGCGGTTTAACCTTCCAGTTTATCAAAGTAAAGCTATCGCACAAGGACGTACACCCACCCACCCCGATTCACATCACAGCTCTTTGCGTCACAATTTTCCTTTCATTAGCTGGAAACAATCATGTCTATCCACAAAGCTGCTTCCTGCCTTTGACCAAACTGGCCCCCTATTTCTCTGGAAAGGCACTGCTTTGTGCATTGGTGCTCTGTTTATGTGATATTCCACAGGAAGATTTCCATTTAATGTTTTTTTCCAACTCTCGTGTGAAATTTACCCTTACATCAAATAACAGATGTGGCAGTACTGTAAAATACAATAACAATAAAAGATGCATTAACAGATGAATCACTCACAATAGGATTATCATGCATTAAGAAACTTTTCATGCATTAATGTGTCAATTTTTATTTAATGCAGACTTTATCAATACAAACTAGTAAATCAGTGCCTAGTGCATTTTCCCCTCTGCAGTAGCTTTCAAATGGCATGTGCACTTCTGCATATTCAAACTTGACTTGCCTGCATATGTGAATAGCCTAAATGCAAATGAAGTTTGAGAGCTACAGTATATGTGTGTTTGTGTGCATCATCAAGCAATGTCTTGGCGCTCATATACCTGTTGTTAGGGAATTTGCTTTAAAACACTTACTGTGTTTTTCTAGGTTTTTTTGATGATGCATGTGGTGCAGAAATTGTACACTTCCCGTTTAAGTTTCATTCTCCCTTATAGGATGCCGACTGATTAATTAGCTGCCATAGTGTTTAACTCTAGAAAGGTTTTTATGATGAATCCATGATGACTGTGGATTAAAATGGAAATCCCATATTAAATACAAGTTAAATGATGTAATGATGTAAATAACACGTTAATAATGTAAATAACGTGAATATGCAAATGTTGCGAATTCATTGTATTTTACCCATATGTGAGTTTGCATTTGAATATGTTATTTAAAATGTAACACTTTTTGTGCTTAAGAGTGTTAAACACTTAGGTTCACCAGACAGCTCTTTGTTTGCAGTCGTTTGTTTCTGTGGGAAGTCCAGGAAGTCTTTCGTCTTGTTTACTTCTGCTGCAATAGCATTTTATTTTACTTGTAGAAATTAAGCATGATTTTCTCTAATCTCTCACTTGGTATTAAATAGGACACAGTTTGTAACTCTCAGTAAAAATCAGAAAAGTACACTGTAAAAAAAAAAATCTGTGAAATTTACGGTAAAATACCGGCAGCTGTGGTTGCCAGAATTTTACCGTAAAAAATATGGTAGCAACATTTTAGGTTTTACAGACTTAACTTAAATTCACAATAAAATACTGCATTTCATTAACCAAAAAAACATCAAATATGAAGTGTCATGCAGGGAATTCTGGAAGTGTCAATTTACGGGTTTTCACTGTAAATTGACTTTTTCTTTTTCACTTCCAAAAACCGTATTTTTAACAGTATTTTACTGTAAAATTACATTAAATGTAATTACATTTATTCACCAAATATCGTAAACTTACTGTTAACCAGTTAACAGGTTTTTACTGTAGCATTTTTACAGTCTTTTACTGTTAAAATCACAATAATTTTTACAGTGTATGTTTAATGTAACCCTTAAGAACAGGGCCTAATCAATTCTGGCAGTTTTCTCTGTAAATCAGTGCAAAGAATACTCCTGAACTGAAAACTCTATAAGGACTTTTAGGCCTTTGGTTTTTCCTTGCACTGTTGTTTTATTCATTAGTCACCATTTTTGTCTTTCTCATCTGGTTTAACCCACACTTGGGATCAGTAGTGCTGACACTGCACACGTTGAGGCAGAAATACTTTGTGTCGTGGTCAACGTGAGCAGGAAATGCAGAAGCTGCAGGAAGCCTGACTGGCTAAGAATAGTGCTTACTGATGGAGTGAATCTACTTGAACAGGAAATTGCTTCCTCCATGCAGCAGCCCTCGCCCTAAACCAGTCCTCAACCAACAGGACTTCTGCTTCCAAAAACCCATTTTTGCTGATTGCAGTGATTTTCCGCTGCTTGCAATTCAGACAAAAAAATACATGCACAATCAATACACCATAATTTTTAAACCCAGAAAAAATGCATTTAATGCACTTATCTTGCATGTTTTTTTTTTCATTTATTGAATGTGCACTTGTAGTGTTCTTTAAAATAAAAAAGTATATTTAAAAAAAATTGCAGATAATATAATATACATGATATAAGGTCACTTAGACTTTCATGACTGCTTGTTAACACACTTAAGTATACTCTTTGTAATATTATCTATTTAAAAGTTTTACTTTGAAGTATGTTTTAAATAATTACATTTTAATAATCTCTTGTCATGAGTACACTTTTGGTTGGTGTCAGGATTATGTCTTGTGTAACAGTGTTTTTCATTGATTTTCCAGAGGTTTTGTTGATGAATTAAAAATGAAACAAAGGTAAGATACGCTTTCTTATTTAAAGTGCTCTCTTTGAGGAGAGAAATGAGAGAAATAACATTTTAAGTGTAATCCAGTCAAATAATTAAATAAATGTTCAGATGTTGTTGATTAAATCGGTTGAACACTCTTTCACATGACAGAACTAAAAGCCAAGAACCTACAGTACAGCACAGCAGTTTAACATCTCGGCCCATCAAAGTGATGTACAGTGTTTGCAACATTAACTGCTTGCGTAGCTTCTGCCCTGGGCCAGAACAATTAAGACTATATGCCAGATTGATAGAAAGGAGGCTTCCCATGAGGGATGGAAACCCTCTGAAAGGTCAGATCTACCCTGAAAAATAATGCATTTGTGTGTAAATAAATATTTTTTCATAAAAACCGCTTGTAATGATCACTGTTTAAAAAAATAGAATGGTAATTTTCTTCCAGGTACATTATCCATTAATTTTGTGGACATTTCCATGAACTCTAAAGCACAGCGCAACGCAGTGCAAAATTCAAACTCAAATAAATAACACGGAAAATTGATTCATACGAATACAGTACATTGTGCCCTATTTTTCTGGATTTTTTTAGAGTGTACAAGTCATTGCAGCAGTGATGGGGCCAGAGCAGATTTAAGTGCCTGATATAGTTTTTGCAAGTACAGACTTCTTTGAAATTGTTTATTGATCTCTGACTGTTGAAGCCAGACATCAAGTGCCACCATAAATGACAAATTTAACAATTTAGCCTTAGGAGCTTCAGAAGTTTGTGGAGAGCCTTAGGTGCTACACAAAGCATCTTTCCTCATTCATGTGATGCTTAAGTCAGTTGGAAACAATATCATCTTCTTCTTCTGATGTATAGGAATTAAAGTATCCTACAATTCTAAAGTAACCTACTAACTTCTCACTGCTTGTTGTAATTAGATGGGCCACTTTTGCTGATGTGTAATTGCGGGCAGATGAGATAATGAATTTGAGTTTCTGTTTGATTTTAGAATGAGCCCTTTTTAATGCTTATACTGTCTTTGAATGATTGTATTCATGAGCACACATGAATGCTGTGATTATCTGTAAAATTTTCTTTTAAACTCAGTATTTAATTTCAACTGTTTTTTTTCCCGAACTTTAAAGCAGGTGTATACAATTCATATGATGGTGATGAACAATAATGATAACATTTGCCAAAATGGACTGCTCATGAGTTGACATGCGCAACAAAACTACATTTCCCATAATTCTCTATGACACGCATGCACATTTTTTTGCTCTTCATTTTGTTTTATTTATTGCTATAAAAATTTTCTGTCTTTGTCAGTAAGTTAAAAAAAGACAAAGAAATATACTTTTTTTTTTTTTTTTTTACCAAAATCACCACAATTT